TTCTCGATCTTTATAGGTCACGGCCACCCCACTCGGGGACTGAAACTTCGGGCAAGCTCGAAGTAAAACGGGAAAATTAACCCAAGGGGAAAATTCCCAATTAAAGAGAGTACGACCAAATTAACATGGCTCAGATACGTCCGAATTCCGTAACAAAACAGGCCTTCGAATTCATTCACAACCGGTTCTAAAAAGCTACCCTCGATAGAATCTTAATATTTAAGATATTTTTGAGAAAAAACATCGATAAATATCGAACTCCGATAACGCATTAACCCAGAAAGGCAGTAGAAGCATGACTTTGTTCGAACCCTGGAACACGACTTTATTATTTCATGCTAAGGCATTACAACCTTTGCGAACATGAATGACAAAGCAAAGGAAAAAATTCTGAAAAAGCCAAAAAGGGTAGAAAGCCTTATATATGTTAAAATGATCGTTCTACAAAGGCCAGATCGGCCAAATACAGAGGCTTAAGGGCTACTCTCACTTCGATTTCGAAATATCACTCTTACTCGACTACTGAGCTTAAGGGCTACTTCAACTCAAGTTCGAATAAATTCTCACTCGGGGACTGTTCTTCGAGCCTAAGGGCCACCTGATTTTGAGTTCGAGATAACATTCTCACTCGAACATCAAACTCAAAGATTACCTTATTCCGAGTCCAGATAAATGATCTCACTCGGCTCCGATTTATCGGAAACTGCCTCAGGCCAAGTTCGAATGTCTGATCTGGGACCGTTGAATACAACTTTATAACTTTGTATTAAGGTACTTTGATACTTGCATAAAATAACTAAAGGACAACAGATTTGGGAGCCATGGAAAGGAAAATGTTTTTTACATATCAAAGTTTTTTACAAGGGCCACATGGCCCAATCAAAAAATTCTTTACAAAGGTCGATCCGCCTCAAAGCAAAAGCGAAAATTACTAGGCCTAAGAAGCACGGTCCTTATCGGAGGAAGCTTCTTCGCCCTCGAAATCTTCTCCACCAGATCCACTCACATTTCAGAATCCTCGTCGGTAAATGCTAGCTTCCAAGCCTTTGCTTCCTCAGACTTGGCGATCTCGAGTTCAGCAGATATATCGAAACTTTGAGCAAGGACCCCCTCGAGAGCCTCCCTTCGAGCTTGCCACTTCGAATGATCCACCATGCCTTTGGCCTGCTCGAGGGTGGCTTCAGTATCGTCTTTGTATAGGGCCGCAGTAGCCTGGGCCTTAGTATTGTCCGCGGCCGCTTCAGATCTGGCAACCTCGAGCTTTTTGTCCAAACTGGCTAAATTGGACTCGAGCTCCTCGACCTTTTTCTCCTGAACCGAGGCATTCTCTCTTGCAGATCGAAGCTGTGACTTGGCCGAATCCAGCTCTGCTTGAACAGTTTCCTTTTGTGTAGTCAAAATGTCCATACATCCCTTGAACTCTTCAGCCTCGGCTCATACTTTATCTATTTTCCCTTGGAGGCCCTTGATCTTTTTGAGCCTCTATCGAACCTGCAGAATCGGATTGTTAGTTGTTATCTCCGACTCGTCCTCACTATCATGAAGAACTCGGAATACCTGCTCAGCCATCTCAGCATACTCATCTAGAGCCGCCACCAAGTCTACCTGAAGCTTCTCACTAAGAAGCTTGTAAGTATTGCATTTCTCAGTGAGGCCCTGGACCTCGGCCTTGCGTTCCTCTCGGATTCAAAGAAAGGCCTCATGATGCAACACCGAAGCCAACGAGAAAGGAAGAAAATGTTAGAGATATCTACAATTCAAAGTCATAAAAAGATAATGGCCATTGAACTTACTCGATTCAGAGCATGCTGGGCCTCGTTGAACAAGCAAGCAACTTCACTGCATCCATCTTGGCTTGGTCCTCTTCAGCGACCAAGCATCGGAGATAGCTAGCCACCCCTACAGGGGCAGAGAAAACTTGAGTATCCTCCGGGATCGAGATGATAAGTGGCCGCTTACGTTCGGGATCAACGCTGGGGGCCGGGGATTGGTTGGTCAATTTAAAGCTTGAGGAAGCCTCATTCGAGCTCTTCCTCGGTACGTCCACGTCACCCAGACCGATAACATCTTCCACTTTAGCAAAATAGCCTCGAAAGGTCTTTTGCTTCGTGGACCTCTTCGCCGTGGCGAGTCTCCATCGCCTGAGCGTCCTTGATTGTCGTATCAGAGAACGAAGGCAACGAGGAGAAATCTCCAATCTCCATTTCCCCAAGTGAATATTTTAGGGCTCCGCCTTCGTCACGAGAAGCATCGGGCGTGGTTTCTGCACCGGCCTCGACCGCCTCCTCGGTAGCCTTCCCACCTCGAGGTGAGTCATCTTCGACTCTTTCCGATTCGGGCTCATCAGGTCAGGGCAAAGCAATTTCGGCTCTCGCCTGTCCAGTGGTTCTTTGAATCTCGGTGCCAGCTCGCGCACGAGTCACCAATCCAGAGTTTTCTTCTTCTTCGTCTTCATCTTCGGTCTCATCCATTAGCTATTGGACGCACTCTAGAGTTACATGGATGACATTCCTCTTAGGCTTACGGGGCCTCCTGGCCGACCTTTTCTTTTTCGGGCCTGGAGAACTCGGAGCCTCATTTCTTTTCTTCTCTTTGCCCTGCTTCGGGGCAGATGAGGAAATAAGTGCCTCTTCTTCAGCAGAGGGGAGCCTCATTGGTACATCCTTTCCCGAGGCCTACAAAATGAAAAAGATGAGTAAGTACAATAACGAAGCCCGAATGAAAACCTTTCTAAGGAAAGAAGATTACCATGGTTTCGGGCCTCCCATTTACCCCTCAATAACTCCATCCAGGCACGCTCGGAGTAAGATTTTTGCGATACTAATCCCTCGACCCATTGCCTCAGGTCGGGGATCACTTCCGTCACAACGACCACAGCTGCAACAAAAAAAACTTAGATGAGGGGAAGACAAGAAGTAAAACAGCAAAAACAAATATTCAAAGGAAAAGCAGTACTTACGCTTCATGTTCCACTTTTCAGGGAATGATATGTCTTCGGCAGGGATTAGATCCGGAGTCATTATTCGGACAAATATGCCTATCCAACCTCGGCCTCGAGTCTCATCTATGCTCGAGAACAGGGGTTTGGTGGCTCGACGGTAAAGCTTGATCATGCCTCTACGATAAAGCTGGGGGTTGTAGAGGCGCATGAGGTGATCGAGGGTAAAATGATGCCCCTCGATCTTGTTTGCAAAGAATCGGAGGAGGATCACGATCCTCCAAAACGACGAATGGATTTGGCCCAGAGTGACATCGTACCTCTTGCAAAAGGCAACGATGATAGGGTCTAAATGACCTATCGTGAAGGGGTAGGTATAGACACTCAAATACCCCTCCATGTAAGTTGTTATGGATTCCTCGGGGCTAGGAACTACTACATCCTTGCCTACCCGGTTGCACTCCTCTTTCACCTTCTCGAGGAGACCTTCTGTAATCGTACATATGTACCTCGACATCGGTTCACATCGACCCGGTGTCGAGGGTGTATTCTCCACCTTGAAATCAGAAGCAGTGGCACACTTCGTCGGAACGAAGTCCTCGAGGGGATGTTCCACCACGGCTGCGGCGCCGACGGACTTTGATGAAGATGCGATTTCCTTGTGCGGAATGGTTTTTGAAGTTTTAACCATTCTTATAAGTAGAGAAGGATGAAATGGGGGAAGAACGCTTGGTGTTTTGCGATGAAACTAGTAAAGAGATTCAGAGATATGGAAATACAGAGCTCTGAAGAAGGCAAAGATTTTGAAGATTAGAGTGTAGGAGATTTGTGAGTAAAGTTTGAAAGATGAAGAAAGATGAACTTATAGGTTGAAGACGACGGTTCAATATTGATAGTGGCCGACAAGCAACTACGCGCCTTAAATGCCTGGGGAACTGAACCGACGGGACATTTCGATCACCTCTGCCGCTTACGTCATGATAAACCAAGGGGAAATTCGAAGACTCAATTCGTTTCTTGTCATTGCACTCCAAAAAAATGAGGGGACTATCTGTATACGATCAAAATCCGGCTTGTCTAATTTTGTACAACTAACCGAAATCGGGAAGGAAGATCAAGGCTCGGCCTCGGTTATATCGAAACGTGGTACGGAGATGGATTGGTAAGCTCGTGGATCAATGGCCGATCAAGATCGAGACCGAAGTGAGAAAGAGATCGAGCAAGATCGAAGGAAGCCCGCTACGTCGAATAACAGAAAGCCGAGATATCCGTGATCGGGCAAGGATCGTAGCGAAAATCTCGGCACGTATCGAGTTGTGATCGGTTATTTAGCCTATCATGGGATTTGCTTCTGTAATTAGAATTATACCATAAGTAAGATTCCTCTACTATATAAAGAGGGTCTTAATCATTTTGTAGTCATCATACATTCACGCATATCAAAGCAATATATTATATTTTTTCTCCTGCAAGCTCTGTTGTTCGGTTCATACTTTTCAATAGGTTACTTAGTTGGTTTGAGGACGGTTTAGCTCGAGGGCCATAATTGTTCACCACATTGGTTTGCTCTATTTACTATTAATTCCTAATGTTAATTCTTATATTTATCAGTTTGTGCCAAGTGAAATCACATGTCCTTAAAATCACTTATGAGTTTAATTGTTATCCGATTTTAAGGGTAAACATAGTATTTGTTAATTTCACTCAAAAGTGGACGGGTTTAATTAACTTGAATTTGATGCATGTAGCAAGTCATGTTAGTTTACCATAATTACGTGAAAAATTGAGCTAATATTTCATACATTATTTAATGATACGTGCAAGACTCTATCAAGGACAAAACAATGTTAGATGATCTCTTTTTATTTTCTTTTTAAGTCTTGGTAAGTAAAGTTACTTGACATTCGTACCGATATAAGATAATAGTAAGTAACTAATGAAATAGACGCCTAAATTGACTCAAACATACTTCACCGTGTACGAGTAATTATTATTTTTAAAGTGGGTATCCTGATCTCCTCTCCCCCAACTTTATAATAACAAGGGTTGATAATGTACAGCAAAACAAATTACATGGGTCTAAAAGCCACTTATTGAAAACTTAAGGGAAGATGGTGCACATCACCAATATATGATTAGTGAAAAACGAAGTCTTTTCAAATTCAACGGCGTCGTCACAGTCGACATAGTAGGGTTTAGGCCGTAGACGGTGGTTTTAGCACTGTATTGCGATGAAGCCGGTGGTAGGGAGAGTAGTGTCGAACAAAATGCAGAAATCAGTTGTGGTGGCAGTCGATCGGCTCTTCCATAACAAGCTTTACAATCGATATGTTAAGCGCACCTCCAAATTCATGGCTCATGACGAGAAGAACGAGTGCAATATCGGTGATCGCGTAATCTACTTTTTCCCACTCTCTGTGTATGTGTGCGCGTGCGTGCTTTTATTCTGTTTGTTTAGTCTTAGATTACTTGAGCTTGTGCAGATTAATTCTGAGCTTGTGAACTACCAATTGACTTCAAAATAAATTTTGTTTCAATGCAAAAAAAAAAAAAAAAAAAAAGAAAGAAAGAAAAGAGAGAAACCTACACAGTGTAGCCGCTCCCCAAAATAATAGCTTGCAAATGTATATTTTCTGTATTTAATAAATAATTTATATATAATATACAATCAGTGTATATTTTTGTGTATTTGGCTAGCGGCTGTAATTATTTTGGACCGACCAAATGTGTTCAAAGCCCAAAAAGGCAAAAGCAACTAAATTTACCCATATCTACACTCACTATAGATTTTAATTTCATTTTCCTAATTCTTGGTTGGCCATTTTTAGTGGGTACATGAAGTTGGTGAAAAAACTGGTCTTTTTTAGTGGAAATGTTGCTGATGATGTTATTTTGGTCTTTGATTATTCAAGCGTACTAAATTATGAGCTTGTAAACTCGCAAAATCTTTACCAAACATATGCAGATCCAAACACAATGTTATATATAAGAAGAAGAAAAGATCTTTCTTGATCAATCGCTTTGCCGCTCATTCTTCAATATATTGTTAAAGCTCACGGTCAACTTACTCGGGAAGGAAAATATCTATATATGAAATGAGAGAATCTGGAGTCATTAATGCAGAAAATATTGTAGAATCAAAAGTGGCCCTAGTATATGGATTTAACTATCGGGAACTCATATGAGAATTGGTTATTAGACTCCAAAATAATTGTTTGCTTCAATGAAAAATAATCACCTAAATTTACGCATGCCTAGACTCAAGCTTCATTTTTATCCAAATTCTTTGTTGGCGATGTGTTCCTATCATCTGTGCCTGTTTGCGGGTGTATGAAGTTGGTGAAGTCCTTTTCATTTTCAGTTGAAATTTTGTGAATAGTGTTATTTCCAGGCCCCAACTATGGATTGGGGTTTGCTGAAGGTTATAGTCGAATTATGATACACCTCTGAAGACTAAATTAGAGTGGAACTGGTTGGGATTTATATAACGGCTGCAATTAATTTGGGATTGTGTTGTGGTTGATTGATGTGTTCTGTAACTTCTGTTTATGGCATCTCTGATTATATTACACCTGGAGTTGTACAAGAGAGAAAAGGGGAGACTTCCCCTTGGAATATTATTAAGTATCAAAAACGCTTTTAACCACGAGATTGAGAAAGAAGGGGAGTGGCGCTGTGGCGGTAAGGAAAACCCTGATGAATCTATTTTAAGTTGAGGGAAAGATGTGAGGATTCAGATAGAGACTTGGTGAATTTTAAGTGTAAGTGATGTATATCTTTGCATCATGTGATTAAAGGTTCTTTTGCTCTTTTTTTTTTTTTGGTATAAGGTTGAAGGTTCTTTTACTTTTTCCTTCGTCAAATTATTATTTACTAATATATAGCTGCAGCGAGTGCAACTCTTTTATCGAACTGATTTGTCAGGATGATTTACTTTAATCCTTCAATGTCATCGCACTTAGAACTTTAAATTACGTCCTTTGTGTACATTGCATTGTATCTTACCGTGGACTCATTCTGTTTACTTCCCGCTTGCTTATTTACGATCAATAACTCTCAAATGTAGCTAGATTTGGTGTAATCTGTGAATAAGATGTTGAGTACTTGATGAAATTCCAATTTCAGGTTAAGTTGGATCATTCAAGACCACTGAGCAAGCGTAAGCACTGGGTTGTTGCTGAAATATTGAAAAGAGCAAGAATTTATGTACCTCCTTCAGCACGAACTACCACTGAGACGGTCAACAAGACTGAAGTGTCTCCTAACGCTAGTTAGAGTTGAAAGAGAAGTATTATCTCCACTTCGCCTTGTGTATCCAGAACAAAATCCTATTTTCAACTTTCTGGTGTTTTTGGTCCACTATTGTGAAACGGGAACATGCCAACTGCTGTTTTAGGGTTGACCAACTAGATTGAAGACTAGTTCCAGTTGGAAGCTGGTGATTTCCAGGTTTAACATGGTCTGCGTGGTGAATAGACCCAAACAGCCAAAGTAGGAGTTAGTAGAAGACTATAAGACGATAGGAGTTATGATATTCGAGGGTGTTAAGCAACTGAATATTATAGTCCTGCAATTGCCTTGTCGTCTTTTTCCATTGTTACTGTCATTACCGGCTATGAAGGTCGTTTCATCATTTTGTTGTGAATCTTGTCTGAATTACGCGTCTTCATAGCTCTTAAACTTAGTAACAGAGCGTCTGTTTTTTCCCCGATGCTTGTTATATATTGGTGAAAGTATTTTCACGAGTATGCACTGCACAGCACACATTTTACTACCTCTGAGCAGAACATCATGTTGCTGTACAAATCTACAGTATCAAAATCTGCAGGAGAGTTGCTGCTATAAGCTAGTGAGGATTGTTCTTGACGCATATTGGTAAAGTTAGTTTATGAGTTGCTCTAATTTGTACATCCAAGAAAAAGAAAATACAATGCAAATGAATTGGCAACTTGAGAAAACAAAATTTTGATACTCGTAGTAACTGCAATTTGGGTAGCCACTATACCTTCTCAAATAACAGTAATAAAAAAATATCGCGACTGATCTTATCAATTTCTTGTTTCCTCTTTTCGCCTACAAACTAAAATGAATTTGATCCCACATTTTCTTGTCACACAACTGATAGCAGATAGCTTATACAAGCTCACAACTTGATGATATTACAACTCTTTCAACAGCTGAGAAAACGATATTTGACCCCTCTCTGGAAGTGTATAAAGGGAGAAGATATAGTAAGACCCTTTCCACAAGAATAATGACGTAGGAACTTCATCTCATCACCAAAATTCTCTCTGTTGCAACAATGAACCACGCCAAGAAAAAGAAGTTTCTTCTGTATCTAATTTACACTGACAACCTTCAATAGGCAGGTGCCAGAAGCAATCCTAAAAGATATATTTGTCTGGGGGTGCTTCTTCTGGAATCTGAAAAAGCAACAAGAATTAAAAAACACGAACTATGGAATTCTTTTTATGTTATAAAGATTATTACTTTAATGTTTTACGTTAGCATTAAATCAAATACAGTGGTAGATATGCTTGCGGATGCACCATCTTCCCCATTTTCAAGGAAAGTAATTTTTACTTTTATTATATTTAGTGTTTTTTCTATAAGCTATCTTGATTCAAGATGCCCAAGGCAAGGAAAATATGTTACCTCCCCAATTTTCCATTCCTTCTTTGTCCAAATGCTGTTATCCCCACTGAATTCCTCTGTTGATGCAGCATTCCTGCAAAACAAGAACACCCAAAAGAAACTCATCAGTAAGTTACCATTTAATATTTCCACAGAAAATGTGAAAATCAAGTTATTTGATGATTTTATGGTAAGTTAAGTAACTACTGCTTTGAACTTACGTCAAGTTGATGTTGACAGGGGACACCGCAAATGAAGCAGAAAAATGCCCCTGAGGAGTAGGAAGTTGGCCGCCAGAGGGATTAGGAAAATGTTGAGAGGTAGTTGAGGTAGAAAGGTTCCTCTCAGAACTTGCTGAAATATTGCTGGGAGTGAAAGGACTTTGATGTGACTGGGAAGTGACTTGGCTTCCGAAGCCAAAGGAACCTGAACCTGCAAACAAAGTCTAGCTAAATAAAATACATAATCACGAATTGATAACACTCGAAAACCGCGTTATGTCACCTGCATTCCCAAATGAAAAAGCATTTGCCCCAGAAGAACTTGATGTCTTAACAGAGTTCCCAAGGGGACTGGGTTGCCCAAATGTATTAGTTGGTGGAGCAGATGCCCTGTTAATTAGAAAAAATGTAGTCAGAAGTTGGTAAAAGCCAAATCACTAGTGGTATGCAGATTTATGGTCGAAATTACACGTGTGAGAGAAAAATAATCGCTTTTTTTTTTACCCAAGGGTGTGGCTTAGTGGTCAATGAAGTGACCTGAGAACCATGAGAACAAGTGCTCGCTTTTTCTAACAGATTTTGTAATAGGAAAACGTCCTAATGGTAATGTCCAGCACTTGGTTCCTGGTTTGCTATAACTAAAGTTTACCTATCAAAGAAGCAAAAAACTTGGTCTAAATGCACTAATGTAGGTAATAATCATGCTTCAGTTCTAACCCTGTATTCAGTAAAGCTCCCAACTGACTAAAACTTGAGGCTGAAGGAGGAAAACTGCTTTGAGCACTCAACGATGCATTTGGTGCGGCACCAGGAAAATGACTTTGAGTACTCAATGAGGCATTAGGCGCTGTACCAGGAAAAGGACTTTGAGCACTCAATGAGGCATTAGGCGCGGTACCAGGAAAAGGACTTTGACCACTCAATGAGGCATTTGGCACGGCACCAGGAAAAGGACTTTGAGCATTAGGAACAGAAGTTGATGGAGCTACATAGTTCCGCAATAGATTTTCAAATTCAGCTGCTTTAGAATTAAGCATGTTCCTCTCTCTCTCAACCTGCATTAACACGACGACAGAAAACAGTTTGTTAAAGCAAGACCATAAGATGCTTTTAGACGAAGACTATGATAGAGTTTACTGATAAGTAATGAGATAGTCAAAGATTGGCACCAAGGCAGTTCCAGCCCTAGCAAAAGGTCTACTGAAAATCGGTGCAAAGTAACCTATACAAATCTGAAACAGCAATTATGATCTTTTCCCTGGATAGTAAAAGAAGTGAGCCAAGATAAGGTGAGAATTTCATATGGAAGCACCAATGGAACCGTAGCCTGCTCAAACTCGGGAAAATCCACTTGGGATAGAAAGGCAGGTACATCTAGCTCAAGTGGGAAGGTTCAAGTATGACCTAGTAAAATGAAAAAAGGTGATGAAGCCAGTAGAAAGGGAGGCTTGGGGTTGAGAAACTTGAGACTATAAATAACAGTCTAAAGGGGAGGCTTTGGAGATTTAGCTTCTGCTGACAAGTTTTCTAGGGCCTTACGTGTCAGCATACATGTCATCCACGTGTCAGCTTATGTGTCGATGATAAATGTCAACAAGGATTCTGTTTGCCAAGTTGGAGGCAAAGGGCAGAAATGGTCTACTTTTTAAATGGCAAGTGTCTTTTTGTTTGCAAATTATAACAGAGGTGGGTGAAAGTCTGAGATAGTCCTTATCAACGCGCTACGAAAATCTATCATTTGCACTAAGCATATCAAAAGTATCATCACTATCCTTCCCAAAAAACAAACTGCAAAATTTTAGAAATCATTACTCAAAGTGAACTCGCTCCTCTCTCAACATATTTTCAGGGAGGAAGGAAGAAAAGAAACTCAACCAGGTCATGGAAGAGGAAAAACTTGATCGTGTTAATGTAGCCCTCTTTCTAACTAATCTAAAGCACTCTGCTTCACTTAGAAGTCTTCCTTCCCGATAAGATAAAATTCTTTGCTTGAATTTTGAGAACAAGTTTCATTTAAGGCATATATACAGATATGAAACCAACAATTTTCAATTGCATCGAACAGTATCAGCCGAGAATACAGAGCAAAAGAAGGCAGCAAAGGTGGTGTCTTACAATAGACATCAAGCTCTGTCCACGTTTTGCATCATCATATGCTACTGCTCGTAGCTCTTCATAGCTAACATCACCGGTAACATCACATGGACCGCTGCATACAAAAGAAGTTGCAGCTCTTGATCAATCTCTATGATCTAGTTCATGAAACAGGCAATGCAGATAGAACAAGAACCTAAGCCCACCAGATATATGCAGGGGTCCATAGAATAAAAATTTGCTTCTTTTAGTTTTCCTTTTTAGTTTTAGAATAGAGAGAGTATAAACTAAGAGGACGCTCTCTCGAAGAGTTGCAACAAGGGAACTGCGTATGATGGTTTAGTTTGAAAAACCTGGATAGCAAGAAGAGGAAGATGCAATCACTTCTCCAACCAAAGTTCCTCAGACAAGGAGTCTAAGATTTGAAAAATTGTCATCTCCAAAGACAAGTTACCAAGTCGTCAATTACAAGTTAGAAGAACAAATACGGGTGTAATAGTTGATGAAAAACACAAATAACAAATTATACTAGTTTTTGTATTAATGCATGATTCGTTGTTTGAGTAGTAAAAGAGATGAACGTACATGAATTGGCAAACGAAAGTGAAGGTTAGAGATCTTCATTTTTCCATTTCGTTAACTTCCAATAATAATTTAAGAAGCTGGATGAGTATTCAAATTCGAAAATAAATGAGAGGGTTGGGGATCTTAATACTAATTAAAGAAGCTGGATGACTCGCCAAACAAAAAAGGCATAATCTTCACTAGATCTTATTCATGAGAGAAACTCAAAGTGCGTCAAGTGAAGATAAGATCTAGAAACATACTTTTTACGATGACCATAGCATGTAAGCAACCACATTGGCTTCTCATTATTAAAATCTTCCATAATTTGGCGTCTGCATGAGTCAGAATCTGTGCAGCTGCACATGTAGCAGAACCAAACATTTAATTCCATTTAAACCATAAAGCTAAACACAAAACAGAAAGGGTTGTGCCACAAAGAACTCACGTGTGATTAGGTGCTACAGGCTGATTGTCAGATTGCCGCGATGAAGAACTGTTGGTACTTGTAGAACGAGTCCACTTATTTTCGAAAGGCTAAAAACAACAAAGAGGATAAACAGAGTTAATATGCACCATTTTCGACAAAAAGGGTTAATATGCATCATCTATCCATTCATTTTAATTCTTCATAGAACCTAGAAAACTGGATAGAATTGAACCTACACATACTCATGCACAAGTCAATACCTAGTATCACATAAATATGTCATGTAATCAGATAAAGGAATAATACAGAAAGTTCCAGCAAAACCATACACATATATTTTCGCCAGTATGTAACTATTAGCAGTAGAAAACTCACCACAAAAACAAAACAATAAATATTAAGCTCCATAAACTTAAATAAAAAAAATAGTCAACTCCATGAGTTTCCATTGATCAACCTTTACTTTAGGTTAATGCGATTTTTTCGTTTGAAGATAGCATCAGTGACCTTCTTCCCTTGCTGAAACCAAAAGGTAGCCTTTTAAAGAAAAGCTTCAAATAGCATACGAAATTACCTAGCACGTCTTGCTAATGATTGTTCGTTTTCAATAAATGAAAAGGGCTGTTACATCATTCAACAAAATCGTACTCCCTTTTTCCAAATGGTATACCCCAAAAAAATACATTCTTATTAATACCTATTTAGCAAAATACAAGGCCTGCCTTTAAACTAGTAAAATGAATTTCTCAGACGTGTAAATTTCACACTTCTAATTTTTCCGATTCTTTATCTATATGAT